GGTGGGGGAGCCTCGGAAAGGTCCTGGAAGGCACTCTCGGACCCTTCCAAGGCTCCCCCCACCATCCCCTTGCTGGGCCCTGGGGAGCGCTGTTTTACAGTATTCACTCCATAAGACAGACTTTCCCCCCCACTTTTTTGGGGGGAGAAGTGCATCTTATAGAGTGAAAAATACGGTAGAAGGCCAGAGAGCGTCTTACATCAAGCATGTGGAGCATGCGCTCGAGTGGTGTAGAAGGAGAAGGGAACAGAGCAGTTAATATCAACAGTTAATTAAGATGAAATTCAGAGATAGCTTTAGGTAAAAATGATACATCAAGATAGAGGGCGATTTTATCTGGGTGAAACCGGAGGAAAGGTGGGTCAGATCTGAGGGCAGCAAGTTCGCTAGCACATTTAGCAGATGTTATTGCTATGAGGAACTATGTCTTCAGAGAAAGTTTAAAATTTGCAACAGCCATTGGTTGAAAGGGCGGTCAAGTAAGTACACTGAGAACAAATTGCAAGGACCACTGTGGAAGAGGATACTGACGTGATGGGCGAATATTGTAGAGTCCCTTGAGGAATGTTTTCAAAGTTGGGTTGGAAAAAAGTTAAATGGAATTGGAATGAAGCAGCTGTTGTGCCACAATAGTAGAGATATAATGGGTAGAATGAGATAGTCCAAGATGAAGGAGATGAAGGACAAAGGTCAGTACAGTCCTCAAAGAAATAGGAACTGCAGGTAAGTTGTGGGAGTTGGCAAAGGATAGAAAAACCTTCTATTTATTCTGATATAGAAGTTTGGTCGAAGGTTTTTGAGCTCGATCAAGTATGTCTCTTATGGTAGGAGTCTTCTCCACACTGTCAGGTTCAGAGAGTCTATGTCTGGATGGTAACTTTCCCGTTATCCTGGGTGAGTAGACTGGGTATCAAGGGGAGACGGAAGACGTCTGTCGACATCAACCTCAGGGGGGTAAACCATGGTTGTTGTGGTCACCATGGGGCGAGAAGTATGGCATTTGAGCAAAACTGACAAAAGCTGAAGGATAGTGTGTTGAATGAGTGGTATCAGAGGGAAGAGACAGAGGAATTTGTCATTCCAATCTATCATAAAGGCATTTCCGAGTGAGTTCTTGCTGGTACCGGCACGGGAGCAATATCTGTGACACTCGGCATTGGTTTCGAAGGTGAAGACATCGATGAACAGGACACCCCACCAGTGGCAGAGGAGATTGAAAACTTTGTCATCCAATGACCACTCATGTGTTCACATGCTGAGGTGACTGAGATGGTCTGCTAGTAGATTGTCGTCTGTGGAGATGTGTACTGCTACTGGGAAAATGTGGTGTAGGTAACACCACTCTCAGAGCTCGACAGTCAGGTATAGTAATGAGAGGGAGAGTGTGCCTCCCTGTTTGTTCACATAATAAAGGGCTGTTGTATTGTCTGTAGCTAGTTGTACAGCTTGCCATGCAATGACTGGTAAAAAGGCGAGGAAAACCTTGATGACTGCTAAAGGTTTGAGGTGGCTTATGTGTATTAACTGTTCTTATCTTGTCCAGAGACCATGGATTCTATGACCTCGATAATATGCCCCCAGCCCAACAGGCTGGCGTCAGTGGTGACTTTTGTGAGCTGAAGTGGTGGAAAAGGTCTTCCAATGAGTATATGTGGAAGAAGCATCCACCAGGTGAGCTGATGGGCAAGCTCGTAAGTTACTGTGGGAAGTTTGGACGGGAGGTCTTTCATGGGATCGAAGAGTGACAGATACCATGACTGGAGAGACCTCATTTTCAGCCAAGCATATTGGATAACGGCAGTCGTGGAAGCCATGAACCTGAGAAGGTGTTGGGTTTGATATGCCAATACCGAGGCTAGAGGTCAAAATCGTATTGTTCTTATTAGTTTGATGATCCTCTCCTGAGGGAGAAAAGCTCTGGCTTGTAGGGAATCGAAATACGCTCCAATGTAAGTGGTGGTCTGTGACGGTTCGAGATGGGATTTGGAAAGGTTCATCTTGAGTCCATGGTCTCAAAGAGCACTGAGAGTGAATTGGGTGGCTCTGATGGCTTTGTGATAGGAAGTGGCAACTATAAGCCAGTCGTCAATATAAGGAAATATGGTGATACCTTGAAGACGGAGATAGGCGGCAACCGGTGCCATGCATTTGGTGAAGGTCCTCAGTGCTGTAGAGAGACCAAATGGGAGGGAACAGAACTGGTATGAGACACTGTCAAATTGGAATTGGAGGAATTTGTGGTGATGGATAGAATGTGAAAGTATGTGTCTTGAAGGTCGATGACAACAAAACAATTCCTCTGTGAAAGGAAAGGGATAATAGTGTCCAGCATCAGCATTCTGAAGTGTTTAGGTTGAATGAACTTATTGATATTTTAAAGGTCAAGAATAGGGCGAAGTCCTCCATCTTTTTTGGTACTGTAAAATATCTTGAATAAAATCCTTCATGGAGGGCAAAAGAAGGGACTATGTATATAGCTTGTTTTTGGAGAAGGGAAATTTCTTGTTGAAGAGCCAATGAATGGTGTTAATGCCGCCAGGAGCTGGAGTGTGTTTAAATTCAATAAAAATAACCGTTTTGGATAACAGAAAGAACCCACTGGTCGTTAGTAATTCGACGCCAGGAGTTGAGGAAAGGATGTAGTCTAGTTTGAAAAGAAGATGAAAAGTCTATGAATATTGCTTACTCTTTTTTTCCCCTTTTTCTTAGAAAAGTCATCAGGACAGATCAGAGTTTTCGACATGAATGTCAAACTCGATTTCTAAGCCAACTTCGAATGGTCCTTCTGAGATTATTAAGATATTAAAATTAAGAGATTTTTTCCCAAGGGTATGAACTAAGTCTTTGTAGTTGCAGTTTAAGGGCGGGTTTAGTAAGTTTTTTACACCCAGGGCAAGAGTGTGTTTGATGTTGCTCTCTGAGGCAAAAGAGGCAACGGCCGTGACCATCTGTGAGCGGGATCTTATTTGTGCAAAGCACGCACCGCTTGAAAGGCCCTGGAGGGGCCACAAAAGGTAGGAAAAGGGGAGAAGTGAGAGGTAATGGGGTCGGTGGAAAGAGAAAACTGCAGGAAGAAAAAAATAGATTTGAATAATCTAAAAGGGGGAAACGTCCAACAAAAGAGATGATTGAAGAAGAAAAAGGAATGATCTCACAAAATACTCACAAAAAGCTCAATCGCTCTAACGTTCCGAAATAGGTCCAACCAAAGCAACAGCTAAAAGGAACTGAGGGGACTTTGGGTGGGTGGAGCATGTGCTCCACAGGGGAAAGTCCCATTAATCAATTATCTTTAAGCTCTAGAAACTTCTGAGAGGTCCTGCACAGGCGCAGAACAACCCAATTGTGTGGATTCACAGAGACCACAAAGAAGAACAATGATTTTTACATTTTAAAAAACCTGCCATCTGTTAGCTCACACAAAGCAGTCACACAGTTTTTGTACATCACACCATAGGGTATTATTAATCCAAACTGCTTACAGTGTTTTTCTGGAAAAAGAGGAATTTTCATTAAAGACTCTTTAAAATTCAAGTGTTAATAATTTCTGCAAATTATTTTGGTTTTGGTTTTCTTAGTATATATGTACCACCATGTCAGGTTGGCTCAGTTTATTTTTTAACTGGAAAAGGGTTAATAAAACAAGACTTATCCAATAAAAAGATATAGAGATTGCCTCCGCTTAGAAAGAACAATCTAAAGTTCTACTGCCGAAGTAACTATTATAGCTTGGTATCATGCCAAGTTAAAGACTTACCTCAATATCAAACCCAACATTTTTGTTGCCTTCTTGATGTACTGCATAGAGCTTGGAAATAAGTTCATTTCCCTTTATTCCTGAATTTTCTGCCAAAGCACGGGGAACTGCTTCAAATGCCTCAGCAAATTTCTTGATAGCATACTGATCAAGACCTGGACAAGTCTAAATAAAGATGGGGGTAGTTGTCACTGTTACACAGACATCATTTTTATTATATTAAAATCTTAAATCTACTTAAATCATTTAAGTATCAACAGAGATGGAACCAACCTGGCAGCCTTTGGGGAGGAGCTCCACTACTACAGGCTGCTACAGAGAAAGCCTGATCTTGTACAGCTACCAACCTAGCCTTTCTGGACAGTGAGGCATGCAACTGGGCTCTGATGCATATAGCAAACTATGGCAAGGCTTAAAATAAGAAGACACAGTTTTTCAGATACCCTAACCCTTAACCATTTAGGACTTGGTAGGTTGAAAATGGCACCATGAATTGGACTAGGGAACAAACTGGAAATATTGTAGTTTGATCAAGACCATCAACATATGGTCTCTTGGGCACAAACCAGACCACATTCTGTTTTGCAGCAGCAGTTCTTTTCAAACACTCTTATGAGCAGCCCCACAGACAGCACCTTACAGCAGTCTTTCAAAATATAATTAAGGTATGAATCACTGTGGTCAGGTCTGCCTTTCCTAGGAAGTGACAAAACGGTGGGTCAGTCAAAACTGGGCAAAGACACTGCTGGATGCAGAAGCCACATGGGTCTCCAGGGGCAGTGTTGGAACCAAGAATATCCCCAAGCTATTAGCCTCATCTTTCAGAAGCAGCACAAGTGAAAGAGGTTGAAACCAAATGCTATTGCATTGTTATTGTTCAATCGTTAAGTCGTGTCCAACTCTTTGTGACCCCATCAACCAGAGCAATGTTATTGCATACCAAGGCTTAATAAAGAAAAAATATTTGCAGTTTACCTCTCCAAATGAAGTGATCTGCTTAGCCAACTCAATTTCTGTTGCTCCACCACCAGGAACAAGGCGTTTATCCTTAAAAAAAAAGTGGCACTAACTCATTTCAAAAACTTGGGCAACAGCTGTTAACTCCAACTGGAACAATTTCAGAAGAGTTTGTTTCTAAAGGATGTTAATTACACAGTGGATTTGCTGTGATGATACAACAGATACACACAGTATAGTAAGTGCAATATATGTAGTGTCATTTATCTTACCATTCTGGCAACTGCACATGATCATGTTTGCACTTAACAATACATTTAATAAAACTCATTTTAGAGCACAATGTTTCCTATTGATATAATTTTACTCACACGTGTGAGTACTTTAAAAGTGTTGACACCATCATCAACTGCTCTTTCTACATCATCCATGAGATTGTCTGTTGAGCCACGAATTACTATTGTAGAAATGGCACCATCTTCTTTATCTACAAGACAAATATCAAGATTTGACTCTTGAAACATGATCAAATTTAACATTTCTGTTAATAAAAATTTAACAGACTAAAATAAAAAAAATGTATACCATGTTTAAACACAACCACTTGTGTTTCCCCAACTTCTGATAAGTACACACTGTCACAGTGACCTAATTCTTCCAGGTTGGGTGGGGTCTAGAAAGGAAAAGGAACAGAATTATGCCCGTGTTAAAAAGTGCATTTTTATTAAAAGAATCTTTGTTATTACTTACATACCAGTCTAGGAAGGGCTGTAGCACCAACTGTTTTACACAGTCTTCTGAGATCCCATTTAGAATTCAGCCTTTAAAAATATAAAGAAAAAGCATTCAGAGGGGGAAACACTCTCCATAATCTGCTAATTCTTGAAAGCATAACAGAATTGAACTTTTAGAGATATTCATTAACACACTTAACTGGCCAACAGAGATAATATAAAAAGAATGTGTAATTCACAGAGACCACAAAGAAGAATATATATTTTTGCTAAAGAACAGAAGTGGTGTCTTCCTGGTTTAAATCAAAACAAACTTTGCAATAATTCCAATGATTAGCAAGCAACAGATGGAATGCATTGTTGATGGATCACCACATGTCTCCTAGACCTGTTCACCACAAGTAGGAGGATTCTAGTTAAAGGACTGAGTACAATGTCTTTCCTGCACCTTGTCCTGATCTGTAAACAGCAACCTGTAGATAAATAACTGTGACATTCCTGAAGAAAAGGAGAACTACTGGCAAATGGATACATCTCAAGGTACTATAGTATTTTACACAAGTATACACCAGTACCACATTTCCCCCATATAGTGCATCTCAAATACCTTAAAATCTAAACTCTATCTGTTAACTGTTACAAATATATATTGGACTTAGCAAACAAAAACTCAATTACCACTGGAAAATCTGCCTTATAATTATGAACAAAATTTGCACCACACTGTCTGGGGAAGGGATCAATGAGTAAACAACACAGGAGAATGAATAAACACTCCTGTGCCATGTTCCTGTCTCTCTAATTTCAGCATACATTATCACTTGATTTTGACACAGTCTCACTCTGACACTGTGTCTAATTTACACTCATTCATATAACTAAGAGCTTTATAAACCTTACCTGATTATCATAAGATTGTATTTGTTAGCATAATGAAGGGCCATGTCTGCCACTTTACCACCTGTAACTAGAACATTTGCACCAGCATCAGCAATGGCCTTGACTTGTAACTCCATTAGGTTTTCCTCTCCTTTGCTAAAATCCATCAGTTCTTCAGCATTCTTGATCAGAACAGTTCCCTGCAAACATACGTTTTTCGTATCACTCACAAAACTTTCTTTTAAAGAAAAAAAGCAGGATAAAAATATTTTAAATATACCAAATTTCTGCCATTTAGCCATTTTAAAAAATGAAGCTAATTATCCTGTTTTTGATCCAGCTGCAACATATGCAAGATGAAGAGTGAAAGAACAGAATATTCCAGAAGTGACAGGTGCCACAGCAGACAAAATCATGATTCAAATAACACACATCCAAAATATCTAATCTGTTAACAGCAGCTCCCTTTGACCTCAGACTCAACCAGTTTCTGGAGGACCAACTGAGTGGATTTTGCATTATTCCCCTTACCTTCCATCTCCTCAAAATAGGGGGAGGGGTGACTGGCAACCTTCCATAGCTTATAATGTAACCCCCCTAGAAGTAAACAGTCTAATTTGAAAAGACTTCAGATGTACCAAAATATCTTCTCCAACCCATCTTGCAAAGATATCCAAAGCTTCACTACAGACTACTTCCTTGTATATTGGAAAACTGAAATTAGCAATATGCGCTAGTGCTAATTCTACTATATCCAAAATTTCTGTGGCACTAGATAAAAGTACGATAGAAATCTACCCTTTATCAATGCCTAGAGAAACTTGACCATAAATATACATACATATACAGTGGTGCCTCGCTTAACGAGTGCACCGTATAGCGATGTTTCCGTATAGCGATCCCTTTTTCGGGATCGCTATACGGAAACATCCCCGATCGTCGCAATGGGGGAAACCCGCATTGCGAAGATCGGGTATTGCGGCGGCCATTTTGGAGCCGCCGAACAGCTGATCGGCGGTTCCAAAATGGCCGCCGGAAGCCCAGAAATGGCTGCCGGCAGCTGTTTTCGCGCCCTGCCCTCGCTTAGCGAAGGCACGAAAATGGCTGCCGGCACCTGGAATCCTCGCTGAACGGGTAAGTAACAAAGGTATTGGAACGCATTAA